CTATAGGCAAACAATAAAAAACAAAAAGAAAAATAAAGAAATTATAATATATAAGTATTATATATATGTATATGTATGTATATACATACATATATGAGAATAATTAGTTACTAAATGAAAGAAAAGTTAGATGTATTTGGTATTAACTAATTGCCTATTGAATTAAGCATATACCACCAAAAGAAAAACGAAACATGACTCAACTCGACTCTCAACTCAATTCAACTTTCAGCTCCGATCTATAAACACTTTCCTAACCCACGAATCTCTCACGTTTACTATTCATCTTTGTCAAAAGCACGCTCTATTTAGCTTTCAATATAATTTCTGTTTAAAGGTTAAGGCACTGCAGGCAGTACTGAGAACCCAAAACTTTCTTTCGACAAAACATTGTTATCGAACAACTGACGCATTACTTTAAGCAAATACAAAGTATCTCTGTTCCCTGTAACAGCACATTAAGTGTGGCATGTTAGGTGTTGTTGTAGTTAACAAAACTGTAAGAAGTAGTTACCTAAAAACGATTAAAAATATATATGTATACACAGCACTAGCTGAAAGTTGCACTTGAACTATGAATTAATCCAGTTAAGCTACTTAATTTCCAAAAGTTTCTACTGAGGCTTTTCAGCGACTTTTCCTTTAAAAGTTTTTTATATGTCAGATTAACTGAAACAGTGGATTAATCCAGTAAAGTTTTCATTTAACTATGTTTTCAGCTCATTTTCGAAACTTATTAATGAGGGATAGCAAAATAAATTGCCACTACATTCAATGAGCTTTCACTAAAAAGCTCTCTTTACTATTGATATGACGAACTTTTCATTTGAAAGCACATTAAAGTTAGACCAAAAGCTTTTATACATTTTCAAATTCTATTCAATACTTTTCACGACTTTTAATTAATGAGTCCTACTCTGCATTGAAAGCACATTAGGGCAAACCAAAAATCTATTTTCTATCTTAATAATTTAATTTCTGGATTATTCTTATCTGGCAATGATCTATCTTGATTCCCTTTCCGCTTTCAGCTAGTGTTACAAATTGATTCTAAAGTTCATTATTGAAACTTAAGCTTTTCTCGTTCCCACCTGAGCTAAAACGGCTTTCACTTCTAATTTCCATATCACTTATCTCCACAAGCTAAAGAGAAACCTGCGATTTGCCTTTGTAAATACACAGACACACACACTCATACTTACATCGTTACACACTCGCACACACTCACACTCACTGCTGAAGAAGAATTTCGAGTTTTCGTATCTGTTCTTGATTTTGATTTCTAAGAGTTCTTTTTCCGTAGACTTTTGTTGTTTGTCCTTCAATAATTGAGATAGATATAAACGAGATATTTACATAGGCCCGATTTTCGTGTGAATTTCCAATTAAATGTGAAATTAATAAAATAAAAATAAAAAAATAAAAATTGGGGGAAATAGAGAGGAAAATAAAACAAAGGAAACCATTTCAAAGCGAGAGCCGCTGGCACAAATTGCGCGCATATGCAAATTGTTATGAATTATTGTGTACTTTTGTAAAACTTTTTGATATATATAATATAGTTAACATGAATAGATGCCTAAATAATAAATTAAATGTTAATTTATTTAAATGTAAACAATAAAGAAAAGGAAAGCGAGAGAAAATGCTAAAATATCTTCAACTAGTTGAAAATGGTAAATCGATAATGATGATGATGATGATGATAGTGTTATTTAACGATATTACGTATATAATATATATATATATATGGTATCTGGGTATACGGATCGAGCATGAAATTACTTTACAGCAAAAACATTTACATTCAAAGTTTTGTGTACAAAAACAACAAAAACAAAAAAGAAAAACATTTTTGGACATTTCATACTCTCGTAATGTTAAAGCTCATATGCGAATACTTGAAACCCAATGAAAAAATCCCAAAAAAAAAATGAAATCGAAAATCGAAATCAATACAAATAATTAGCACGAAAAAAATATTATAAATAANAAAAAAAATATATTTAAAGAAAAATTTATTTCAAGTCCTTAATACACAAACCAAACTGGAATTTATATCATTAATATTTTGTAATACCAAAGGCACCAGTTGCCAGTGCTCAAGTTTTAAAGTTGTCAAAATATTTTAGTAATTCTAATTTCTAATGAATAAATAAACAAATATTTGCTTATGTATGTTATCGATAGTCAGGTAAAATTTGCCGCTCTTTTAAATGAAATTACTCATTTAGTACTGTTCATCGTGGAACATCATATAGTTGAATTTCAAGGGATTACTCATTTGGAACTGTAAGATATTATTTATTTATTAAAAATTTAAATAAACGAGCTATAAAACTTGTTTTCAACAATGCAAGTCGAATGCTCGGGCTAAATTAAATAGATTTAATCTGGCCGATTTGAACCTTTACATTATCGACGGGGACTTGGCTAAACAATTAGCGATCTGAGTCGTCGGTTCTCACTTTTACCAAATAGACGTCGTGATAATTGTGTATATTTATTAGTTGTTTTTTTTTTTTGTTTTTGTTTGTTTGTATTGTTAAGAAAGCAAAAAACAAAATATTGTGATACTTAAAGTAATTGGCGGCCGATCCAGTTCAGCGTAATGCAGAATTAAATACGTGAGTGTGTGCTGCGTTCTACAGGTAAGTTAAGAGCGGCTCTTAAGTGCACGTCATCAAGTCGGATTCCAGTTGCCAGTGGAAAGAAAGAAAGCAAGCCAACACACAAGTTGAAACGGTGCTAAATTAGGTATCAAGTGACATCTGGTGTGCCTTTATTAAAATTGTGCATACCGAAGAAAAAGAAAACAAAGAAAATACGAATACAAAATATCGCGTAGTAGAACAAGTGTTTCCCATCTCGATCCCACTCACGGCCTGCAGGTAATTGCAGAGAGTGAGAGGCGCGCGCGCCTGCGCCTACGCTATTAGTTGTTGGTTTTTTGTTTACGTTGCTTACGTGTCGCGCGTCGCAAAATGTACGCCCGCGCTTACGTAGTTGTGCTTGCATTTACGTGTCTCGCCGCCGCTGCCAGTCCAGTTATCGAGCACGCCGAAGTGATTGATGAAGGTGACAGTTTTCTGGATAATCCGCATTATCTAAACAATGAGCAGATCGGCGAGCTCTTTGCCCGCCTCAGCCGCGACTATCCAGGACTGGCCCAGACCTACTCGATAGGTCGCTCCATACAGGGCCGTGAGCTGCATGCGCTGGCCTTGAATGCGCCCGCACCGGACGGCAATGGCGACGATCTGCTCCGTCCTATGGTCAAGCTGGTGGCCAACATTCAGGGCGATGAGGCACTGGGCCGTCAAATTGTGCTCTACATGGCCGAATATCTAGCCAGCAACTACCAACTGGATAGCGAAGTGCAGCGCCTTCTCAACACAACCGAAATACATTTTCTGCCCAGCTGCAATCCGGATGGCTTTGCGGCCGCAAAGGTGAGTCACAATTCTATTATTATTAACTCAAACAATGAGTAATTGTATAGGTCGAAGTTTCCATTCAACGTAGTGCACTGAAACATGCTTCGTAGTTACAATATACTATAGCTGACAGATATTCGTCTGAAATGCTATTCCGGTAATAAAATACGTCATAGATATTCCTTTACCATAGGGCTCTGAAACATGTTCATATTGAGATATGTGAGAGACAGTGAGCTAAAATATTATTCGGGTAAAAAAATTCGCAATAATATGAAACCTATGTTGTTAAAATTTTCAGTTTGATATTGAAGGTATTACGTGAGTATATAATGTTTTTTATTTACTCATTAAAATGACAATATAATGGTTATGCCAAAATGTATCAAATTAGCTAAAAGAGGCGTGAAGAGGCATAATACGTCAATCATACAATCATATTTTTTAATATGATCAGAGTGTGATACAGCTAACCAGGGATTGGAATTTAGTTAAACCCAAATCTCTAGTATTAGAATAAGTATTTTGTACAATTTGGAGAAGGGGATATACAAACATATATACAGTATTTGTGTTTTACTAAATTCCAATCCCTGGATAGCTCTATCACACTCTGATAATATCATAAAATATGAAGGAGAAGTTAACACTTGTGCAATAATGTGTTTCTCATAAAATAAAGCCCATAAGGTCAAGCCAGGCGCACTCAAAATAAGAATATTGTTCCCCAGCTGAATCATTAATCGTAAAAAATTCCTAAAAATTTATATTCCCTTTAGAAACATTTTTAATTCGTTGAATTTTTTAATTTTTTTTATCAAAACATTCACTGAATTATATAGAAAATAAAAAATGCTATTCCCTAGGAATTTCGAATTATGGGAATTGACGTAACAGCACTACGCTGGTATCAGGGTATATCCTAGTCGGGCACACCCGACTATAGCACTCTTATTTGAATATAATAGCCAAAAATATGGCATATGACCAAATATTCGTTTAAGAAGAGACAATAGAAGCACAGCCAAGAAAAGAGAGGGGGAAAAGGTATATCTACGTAGTCTATGTCTCCAGCTGTGACGCTCTGACTCACTTTATGATTCGTATTTGTTGTAGTGCGAACAAAAACCAGTGTTGAATAGATTTGATCCGGCTTTCGTTGCCCTCAATGCTGCATATTGTGTTTGCATTCCTTTCGAGCACTGATCGCCTGCTCTCCCAATGGGAAAGCTGCACTCGCTCCCTTTCACAGCTCAATCAAAACTGAAACACTTCAAGTCGGAACTGAGTGGAGCAGTGCTTGGCCTAGTTTCTGGTTTGGTTGTGTGTTGGCTGGTTTGTTTGAACTTGTGTGAGGTCGATTCAGCACGATTCGTTAATTAGCAGCTGGGGATGCCCATCGAGCTAAGTGCTTGTGTATATGTACAAGTAGTCCACTTGAGTGGAGATCTATTCTTCGCCTTTGTCGGATACTTAAAATGATGAGTTGGGATTATTGTTGGTTTGCAATACTAAAAATGTGTTAATATTGTCTGAAATACTCCTTGAAAGAGTGCTAATTGAAGTTGACTTGCAATTATTTGCAGTCTTCGATTATCGATAACATATCGATGATTACAAAAATATAAATATCTGTAGCTTGATCTTTTTCGCTGCATATGCTATATCGAAAAATAAAATTTACTTTAAAGAGCCGTTAAAATATCGATTATTGATAACATGTCGATAACTATAAAGGTAGTTATATATAAAGATTGAGCTCTTACTCTTCGTTTCCTAAATTGTAGAATGCATTTAATAAGAGTTACATTTCAGTTGGCTACAGTGCTAGTTTATCGATAACATATCGATTACTATAAAAGTATATTTATCTCAATCTGGATACATTATTAGGAGCACTTTCAATAGACACCTTTAAGTTACATACATACATAGTTTGTTAATTAATTTGTGAGATATCAATAAGTAGGAATCGATAAGTCTAGTTCCTAAAGCTGCGCCTGATCTAATTTATTAATAGCATAATCACTTACAACCTGAGTTTTTTTATACCCTGAACCCATTTTCAATGGGAAATCAGGGTATAATGGTTTTGTTGAAATGTATGTAACAGGCAGAAGGAGGCGTGGCAGACCCCACAAAGTATATATATTCTTGATCAGGGCGACGAGCTGAGTTGATTTGGCCCTGTCCGTCTGTCTGTCCGTCTGTCCGTATGTATGAACGCGTCGATTTCAGAAGATATAAGAGCTAGAGACTTCAAATTTTTTTTNAATAATAATTATAATATGACACATAAATTGAAGATAAAACAAGAAGAAAGAAGAGGACAACGGGCATAATTATGGTAATTGTAAAATAATTAAACAATGACGTAAACGTGAAAAACAAAAACAAAAAGAAAAAAAAACAAGTGAAAATAATAAAAATAAATTGTTGTTATTGAATGTATTTGTATAGAAAATTATTATGATTATGACGATGAATAATAAATGATTACAAATAATAATTATTGTTCAAAAGATAAAAACAAAAAAGAGAAAAGCCAAAAAAAAAAGCAAACAAACAAACATAAAACCACAAAACCAAAAACCGAAAAACCAAAACAAAACAAAATAATATATATACATATATATATGAGAATAATGTTTCTGGCTTCATTTTTATTCAATTTTTGACAGCGAACCGAAATTCGTCGTAAGAGTCATGAAAACTTTCGAATTGCTTGATGGAGCTTTTAAGTCGTTAGGATTGCAGTGTTGAATATTAAAGCTTAGCTCAGCTAAAACTGAAGTGCAAGTTAAGCTAAAGCTTCTGCGTGAGCTTGAGTACAGCGCAGAGGTAAATAACTTAATGCTCTCTTCTGTTAGCTTTTGGATTGAAGCCAAGTTTCTGAACAGCTTGAAAAGTATCTTGAGCAGCTCAACTTAAAAAGCAGCTGAAATCAAATGTTAAATACTAAATATTGCAACTAAGTTTACTTGACGTCTTGGAGCTTATCAAACTTTTAATCAGGTTAAAATATATCTGGCTTAGCTTTAAGAAGCTTTTTAAGCGCAAGCTTTGCATAGTAAATGTTGATTAGCTTTTGCTTGTCTACTTTAGGTTATTACGGCAGCTTTTGTTCTGCGTTGCTCTAAGACAGGATTAATCTACGTGGCTCGTTTCTTTTCAGCTCGTGTCATTGTGGAAATTTGCTTCACTGACCCGATTGGCAGCAAAATGTGCGATTCAAACTTTCACTTTTTCCTTTTCAGTTATATATATATATTTTTTTTGTGCTTTTGTATATATATCCTTAATGCCAATTTCTGTAGGGGCCCCAACAAGCGGACCGTAATTAGACAAGCGGCAGTGGAAGCAACAGCAGCAGTAGCAGCAGCTGCGGCTGAGTCGAGCTCGCTTCGTTTTGCGGCCCGAAGCAGCCTGCCGAAGTGCCGGCCATTGGGGCAGSCAGGCAGAGCGGGCAGGTGTTGCCTCTGTGTGGCAGTGGCAGTGGCAGTCGCTGTGACTGTGCCGCAGATTCAGATACGTTTCGACACGCGAAAGGGAAAGTTCGTGCAGCGCAGCAAAGCAGCTACGCAGCCGGCCAAGACATCGACTGTCTGAACGGGCAACTGGCAGCGGCCACATGCCACAGTTGCGTGCCTCATAGCCAAGTCCAAGTGCGTGTGTGTTGGATTGTGTGTAAAAGTGTCCAAATATTTGCATAGGCCACACGGATAAAGGTGCACGCTAACGAGCTGATGGTCAACTGGGCCCCAAAAGGTTTTTACAGTTGCGGTTTATTTTGGCCCGTAAGGCGGTGATGGCAGCTGGGGGCGTGGCACACTCAGAGTACTGTGTGTGCGTGTGTGTGTGTGTGTGGCAGGCTACGTGTGCGAAAAACTAATTACAAATAACACGACTCGCTTTTAGCCATGTCAGCATCTGCCTCGGCCCTGTGCCCTGAGCGCTGTGCCCCGTGTTAATTATGGCCAACAGCATCAGCTACAAATGCTGCGACTAAGCCGCCACGCCACGCCTCCCACCCACAACAACATAACAAACATTGGGCAACACGGCTTTTTACTTTATGAAAAAAAAAGAATATATATATGTATGTGTATATGTATATTAAACCCGTCGAAACAAAAGGTCAAAATCTAATTGAAATTGACGCGGGAATGTGCCAAACAGCGAGTGACTCGTTCGAGTTAAGCATACATACATATATTTGGTTGTATATATTCAAATATGTAGACTTACATATGTATATAGTCAAACATACAGTCATAGATATATATATTTATGACTGTACTGAGAGTGACTTTTTTCGTCTCTAAACTTTTTGATTTTTAGTTTTTAGTTTCAGTTTAGTTTTATTAAAATCTAATTTAGTTTTGGCATATGCAAAAACATTTGTTTCTGTTTGGTGTAGAGTTTTTTATGATGGATAAAATATGTCAAAGGGTTTTCCAAAAACTACTAACTACTATACTCATGCAATATATGTATGATATGAATATAAACTCGGCTGCATATTAGGTTTCTGGATACACATATACATATATATACTCGTATATGTTTAAATAGGGTATAGGTGCATAGGTTTAGGTCTTGAAATGCCGTTGATAGCTGAGAAGTATTGATAAAGTACAGGCATATAAAAGATGCCCATAGAGTGCTTGCCTGGAACTAAAGGAATATGTAGATCTCTCATAGTTCATTATTTTTAATTGAATTCCAGTTGATAGACATTCCAGTTTCTTTATCTATAAGTTGATTGATTGCTAGGCTACGTCAGTTGTCTCCTCTATTGAGCCTTGCTAAGATCATGAAGTTTGGCAGATGAATCTGTGTTGATCCCCTAACAAATATATCTTTATAGATCTACAATTACTCAATTGATATATCATCACATATATAATAGATCAAATTCACATATTTCTTTTTTGGAATACTCTTTCATCAGCAGGCAGTCTATAAGGAATCAACAAAATAATACTAATATCAAGTTTCCACTCCCTTGAATACCTGTAATAAACTATTACAACTTTTGTTTACAGCACTCATTAGCAAACGAAACACAATTATCTATATAAACACGGCCACATATCACATTCATTGACTCACTAACGAGCAAGTCAAATCGAAGCTAATTGACTTTATTTAACTTTCAATCGTGACCCTGTGCATGTCCCTTGGCTCTCTATATATAGCGAAGTCGATTAGGTTAATTAACTGGCAATCTAAATAAACAATTGCTCAATAAGTTGGCTAAACGTTTGGCCATAAAACGAGCGTTAAATAAATAATTGATAAGCCGCAAAGGCCATTAAAAAACAGAACCAGAAGAAGAGGAGGAAAACTCTGCAGCAGTTTGCTAACTCAATTGCCACGCACAGATACAGATACAGATACAAATGTATCTCGACAGTGAACGTGACTAAAAGAGAATTAAGCAAAAGAAGAAGAAACTCAACTTTGCGTGCAAAATAAAAGTAAAGGAAATGCTTTAAAAATGTTGCATGTGTGGAGCAAAGAAGAAGAACGTGCCAAGCTAATCAGTGGCCTGCTGCTTGCTGCATTAATAATTCAATTGGCAGCGGCAGCGACACCGCCGTCGGCGTCGACGTCGCGAGCGTACAAAGCTCAGCGAGTGCACGAACCAATTGAAGAGGCAGCGTATGCTACTGTGGTGAGCAAGGCATTAGTCAAGACGCGCAGTGGTGAGTATGAATGAGTAGCGTGGTGTAATTAAGGGTGACCAAATAAGAGCGAGAGAGAAATAAATTTGAATAAATTTGAGCTGCATAAACTAATTTATTTTATTTTGAAGCTGTATTGCTGCCATTGTATATGAAATTGCAATATTATTAAATAGTCTCTACAACTTCACTTGAGAAGCAACATAAAGCTTACATAGACAAGGTCCTGATCAAATGGAAAAGATATTTGAATCTTCATCCAGCCATCCTTAACTCCAACAGTTGCTCAAACGAAGTTTTATCACTCTTGCTTGGTGCCTTGAGAATAGAGTAGATTAGTGTGGGGCGTTTCTGCTTACACTCCCGTTCACATTTCTAATAACAGCCGCAATGCAGCGCCTGCCGCGCAGCGTTTTTCATGTGCGCTGGAATCCCAATGAGAAATTCATTGTGGAGAGTCGCGAGAGTCCGGCCATCAACTCGTCCAAGCTGGCGCCGCACCCACGCCTGAAGGTGTCCAAGAACACGAAACTCACGCTCAGCCCCAAGCTCTATCTGTGCCACGACAAGTACTCGAGCGAGTGCCACAATAAGACGGCGTCCTTCCGGCGTCGCATTGTGCAGAGCTTTGAGCGCTCGATGAGCGAATCGCTGAATGATTCGAATCACTACAATGTGGACTACAAGCCCGTCTTTGGCGACAGCTTCGAGGAGCAGTATTATCCCTCGAGCTGCCTGGTCATGGAGGCGGGCGTGCGTGTGCTACGGCGCAAGGATCCGCCGTTCAACAAGCTGCCCTTCGGTCGACTCTTTCCGCGCCAGAAACTCTTTCGCAATGTGAAGAACATCAAGACCTGTGCGATTGTCTCCAGCGCTGGGTCGCTGGCGGGCTCCAAGCTGGGCCGGTTTATAGGTGAGTGTGGTGACTTCTGATGATTGACTGATGGATGATTGATGTCACTTCAACTGCCAGATAGCCACGATATTGTCATGCGCTTCAATAACGCGCCCACCCGCGGCCACGAGGCGGACGTGGGCAGCAAGACGACAATTCGCGTGGTCAACTCACAAGTAAGTCGCTTGCATGGGCCATCAATCAAGGTCAGTCAACGTCAATCGATCGCTTTGCAGGTGGTCACCAAGCCGGAGTTTGATTTCGCTCATGCGCCAATCTTCCGGAACGTCACAATCGCCGCCTGGGATCCCGGCCGTTACAATGGCACCCTCGAGGATTGGCTAACCAGCGCCGACTACGATCTGTTCACCAACTACGAGATCTACAGACGTCGCTACCCCAAGTCGCGCGCCTTTCTCATCGATCCGCACTCCGTGTGGCGCCTCTGGCAAAGCTTGCAAATGTTTGCCGTCAATCGAGCCCTACGTCGTAATCCTCCCAGTTCCGGTTTCATAGGTGAGTACAACAGGAAACCTCCAACTTAACTGTATCCTAAAGCAGGAGAACTAACTTAACCAATGCCTATCGACTGACGTAGGGAATTAGCAAATTAGATGAATAAAAATCCTTCAATTGGCTGAGATAGATATAAGACCTTCTCTAAAAAAAAACAACTTGAAGCGCGGCTGTATCCCTGCGTATCCTGTCGAGTAATATTTTAAAATGCTTGGCGCCATCAGAATCCTCGACTGGCCAAAGGACATCCCAATAGTCCTTGTGGCTGCTGAGATATAGAACAAACATGCCAAGACGCGTCGCCATGCGTTCACATATGGCCGAGCTAGAGGTTTTTTAAATTGAGCCAAAACTACCCTCAAGTGTGCAACTAAAAGTATGCAACACAAATTTTGATTCACCAAATTTTTTGGCTTCTTGCTGCGATTTCTGTTCGCCTGGTATTTCAGCAGAATTTCAATGAAAATCCGTGTCATTTAGTGGGTGTCAGCCATATTTAAAATAAACAACAACAACAAATATTTGTTTATAATTTTTTATTTATTAAAAATTTTATTTTGTATAGTTTAAACAAAAAAATCCTTAAATGTAACGTATATTTATTTAAATTAGAGGGATTTTAGGTAGAGGCAGAGTGCGTTTAATATAGCAACTAAAAGTATGCTACACAAATTATGATTACCAAATTTTTCGGCCCCTTGCTGCGATTTCTGTTCGCCTGGTATTTCAGCAGAATTTCAATGGAAATCCGTGCCATTCAGCGGGTGGCAGCCATATTTAAAATGAGCAACAACAAATATTTGTTTAAAATATTTTATTTATTTATTAAAAATTGTATATTTGATTGTTTAAACAAACAAACAAAAAAATCCTTAAATGTAACGTATATTTATTTAAATTGGCGCTATTTTAAGTAGAGCGCTTTTAATATAGCAACTAAAAGTATGTTACACAAATTTTAATTCACCAAATTTTTCGGTTCTTGCTGCGATTTCTGTTCGCCTGGTATTTCAGCAGAATTTCAATGGAAATCCGTGCCATTCAGCGAGGGCTGGGCAAACTTTTAAATAAATAAGCAACAACAATATATANATCAAATTTTCCGCTACCCACAATTCCAAAATATTTCCGCAATCGCACTTGGAAATAAGAGCTGTAAAACTATCGATAGTTGCAATATTCAATAGCATCGATAGTACTTTTTTTTTTTTCCTTTTGTTTTTGTTTGTATATTTATTTTAAGCGCTGAATCTGTACAATGCAAGTTTAGTACCTTAACAACACAATTAGATTATTTATATAGAGCCTAACCTTCTGATGTATTCAGGAGGACTTACAAATATATATTTACAAGTATCCCTAAACTAAACTTATCTAATATTTTTGGCAAAACCCAAGCGTTTTAATCGCCTTAGCCTTAATTACAATCAGTTTTCGAATGTATAATAATTGACACTGAATAAACAATAAGGAATGACCTGAGATCAAAGAGAATATGTACATACAATGAGTTCAACGTTTTTTTGGCATATCGTTTTGCATACAGCTTTATCTCAGTTAAATTTATGCTAATTGAGAGACCTCTCTGCCTTTTAAATTTACTAATTGCCTCTTAAGTTTACAATTGTCGAAACCTTTTCTCATATACATTCTTCTTCACTTAAATTCACTGAAATTCTAGGCTTGGCTTTGCTACTTCCGCACTGCCCCCAGGTGGACTTTATAGAGTATGTGCCCTCGACGCGACTCAATGGCCGCTGTCACTACTACAGCAAAGAGGTGAGCAGTCCAGGGGGAAGTTAACTTTAACATATGCCAACTCCAACTCAAATTTATTCCAGATGAATTCTGGCTGCACGTTTGGCTCGTGGCATCCGTTGGCAGCCGAGAAGCTGATGGCCTTGGATATGAATGTGGCCGACGATATGTCCGTCTTCCAGTTTGGCATCTTGCGCATCCGCCGGCCGGATAAGCTCCTCTGCGGCTTCAATTTCTTTGGTTACTGATGCCCCAGCGTCCATTTCGTCCTGCAGGATCCGCGGCGTCCAGTGACAATCAAATGTGCATTTAATCAAGCGGTTTTCACACACACACACACACACACACCCACACACACACAAGTTTCAAGTGGCTGCAATGAGTGTGAGTTGCGGCTGCTGTTAGTAAATATTTGCGATCAATAAATAATTTATTTGCCTATACTTGCCTGTGGGGTGTGCCCCAAAGGCGGAAGCGGGAAGACCCTTGGGGCGGGCAGGGCACTGCCATCCACGCCCACGCCCACTTTAGCGCTCTTTATGATGGACAATGGGAGCCAGTTAAGTGCCTGTCGCACTTGATTCTGATTGTTTTCTTATTTGTTTACAGCGATTCTCCAGGGACTTGCAATCAGCTTGGCAGCTCTCTTGAGTTGAACGACCTGCAGTTACCCTATAAAAATAAATTTAAACTGATAAGTGAGTTTCTAGTTGAAAGCTTAGAGTTGATGTGACTAGACTATTAGATACCCTATATATCTATATCTATATATCTATATAGAGTCTATATCACTTAGTACATAGATTCCATTAAAGTAGATTCATAATTTAACAAAATTAGAAGAGGTTGTTATGTAGTGTTGGTTAGAAGATACCCTGTGAATATAACTTTGTTCAATAAAAATGATAAGATACCCTGTAAAACAATCGATAAGCTACAATGCATAGTTCGCAAACAGCTAGCGTTTCTAAGCATACCCCACACACTTCAAGTGCAGGGTATCCCGTTGAGTGCTGCATGCTTCAGCCATTAAATGCCATAACTGTTGTCTACAGAGCGAAATTATATATATTGTATATGTATACAAAATTATTGTCAAGGGGCGCAAAAGATACAGAAACAGTGGAGTTTATGGATTTAAGGGGCGTGGCAATGAGGAGGGATGTGAGAGGTGCTGAAGAGGCATTGCTCATTAATACGTGCTGCGGCAGCGGAAACGTGACCGGCATTCAAAACAGAAGACCCAGACTCAGACCGAGAAGAGACCAAGCAGCAGGCCCACGAAAAACAAAAATAAAATAAATAAACAGACGAAGAGCAGCAGCAGCAGCAGCAGCAGCTCACCGAAAAAGGTGGGGAAAAAAGAAGACGAAAAATGACGACGGCACTCGAGGTAAACGCGGCGTATGCGCGATATTTGCGAATTAAATGGAATACACGAGTACGCGACCAAATAAAAAACAAAAACAAAACACAAAATGTACAAAGATGAAAATTGACATTAAAGCAAACAACGCATTGAACCAGGAAACCGCAAGCCAAGCAGAACTGCTGAAATTTCAACCGAATTTCCAGTAAGAATTTCAGGTGTTTCGCCTGGGCGGTTGCAAATGCAGTCCAAATAAACATGGAACGGCATTCTTTATTGTTGTTGTTGTTGCTGTTGTTGTTGGTTGTCATGTGAATTTTGGCAGCTGTATACGGCTGCTAGGCTGAGCAGACTGCAGGGGCGCCAGGTGATGGGGGGCGTGGCTGTGGTTCATCTAACCAGGCGGTGCCAAAAGCGGTTCGCATTTCATATTTGCATTCCGAAACAACATTTTTAGGGTGGCTTTTGTTTGACAAATGCAAATATCCAGCATTGTCTCTATCTCTCTCTCTCTCACTCTCACTCACTGCCTCGTTCTATCTCTCTCGACTCTCTACTGTCTCTGCCGGTCATCTGCAGTTGTTTATTTGGCTGTCCACGTTTAGCCACAGCCGAAATTTGTTGATATGCTTTGCCTTTTGCACTTGCGCGTTCATTGAACGCTGAACGTGATCGTAATGCTCAACAAAAACAACTACAACAACAACAGTCACCATTGAAAATATTGTTATTATTAATTGTACATTTATATGGCCATAAAATGGAACTCAAAGACCTGCAAATGCACGCTCTAGCCTCAAATATTCACCATTTCCAAGAGAAATGCCAAAATGAGGAGATACCAAAGGAATTTTAATGTTTCAAGCATGAGTGAGGCGAGAAAATATGCAGAGAATATGTAATGGGAGTCCTTTAAGTTGACCTAAAATAAACTCATTTTGAGTTATATGTTTTCCAGATTAAAGTGGATTTTGGAAATGCTTAATAGTAACAAAAATTGAATTACTTAATTTACTAATTTAA